GTTGCACGAGCCTATGGCACCAGCAACTTGGAAGGCTGAGGTGGAGCACTTGAGCCCAGCAGGTGGAGGCTGTGGTGGCCGTGAGTATGCCACTACACTCTAGACTGGGTGACAACGTGAGACTCCAACTCAAAAAACAAAACAAACAAACAAACAAAAAAAGTCTCTCTGTAGATGGCAAAATACTTAAAATGACTGTGGTTAACTTATTAATGATAACATTTCAGCAGTGAAAGACCTGATGAGTTCAATACAAAAATAATGCAAATGACATAGAAATCTGATTATTTCTGAGGAATGAAAAAGGAGAGTTCATTTCAAATCAAAGTGACACAACATTTTAAAGGAAAACATAGATTAACATGATTGTTAAGAACCTTAGTTCCTTCATGAGTGAGAAGATTTTGTTTCTTTAAGTAATCAAGGATGTGAGAAAGTCAGCACAGAAAATTATTCTGACAAGACAGAATTATTACCTTTTAAGTAGATTTCTCAAAAGGTAAAGAAAAACTGTACAGTCTCTTAAGAAGTAAACCAATAACTTAAGAAAATGTCATTTAACAGAAAAAAACCTTTAGTTTTGCTTCATTATATTTGATACTAAAGCTCTTTTAAATAAAATCTCATTAAAAAAAAAAACCACCAAATCTTAGCCAGCTTTGAACATGGCTAATAAAACTCCCTTTCTGTGCACCTTCTACAACTTTCTATATCCATTCAGATTTTGGACTACATATTATTTTCCCTGATTCGGAAACAACAATCTACTGCAGGACAAAGCCACCCTCCTTTCTTTTAACAAAAACATATCCTGATTTCTGAAATAACTAGAAATTGACTTTCCATATGACCCAGTCATTCCCCTATTGGGAATATACCCGGAGGAACTCAAATCATCCTACAAAAAAGATATGTGCACACGTGTGTTTGTTGCACCTCTATTCATAATAGCAAAAACATGGAACCAACCATGTTGCCCATCGAAGCTGGACTGGATAAAAAATGTGGTATATATATACAATGGAATATTATGTAGCCATAAAGAAGCACAAACATATGGACTTCACAGCAACTTGGATGGATTTAGAGTCGATCATACTCAGTGATCTATCACAGAAAACAAAGAACAGAGTACCATATGTTCTCACTCATAAAGGACCTTGAACAATTATAATACTATGAGAAAGGGATTGACGGTAGTGGGAAACTGTCAGGGGAGGGAGAGTGGTATTGGTAGTTGAGGGAAACTGCTAGGGGAGGGAGGGGCACACCTCATCAACAAGGGTACCTTCATAATCAACATTTGTATACCTAAACCTGAATTGTACCCCACATCTTTATAATAAATAAATAAATAAACAAAGTACAAAAAAATAAATGTATTAAAAAAACCACATCCTCAAAACCTTGCATACAAAGTCATTTTTCTCTACAACTGTTTTTCCTAGAGTTTTTTCACAATATCAGTAATAACTTTTAACCAGTGGAACTTCTATTTCACAGATAACTATGCAGTAGATACCTATGAGCTGTCATACACTATAATTTTGTAACAGAGCTTATGAATATATATCTCAAAACCTTTTTTGGCCATATCTCATCCTTATAGTATAACTTTTTAATGAGACAAAATACATAAAACCTTCAAATTATGCTGAGTGATTAATATTTCAATATTTGGATATCTTATTAGAGATCATATAAGTATTTAATGAATATCCACTAATTAACTTAATCTAGCATAAATTTTAAAGTACTAAAAGATCTTAGAGACTCTTCAAAATGACATACTGCAAAACATATTACTGTTGAAATAGAGTTGGTCTGAATAATGATTCAATTTGGTTAAATACAAATCTCCAGTTTTCATCATCTTAAACATCTGAGAGATGTAATATTAGTTTATTCAATCAGTAAACCTGTATAAATTTAGGAAGAACATACCCACATAGAATACAAAAATATGCTTGCATTACAGAAGACAGCTCTTCTTACCAAACAACAATATTAAAATGATGGTGTTTTTCAAAGAGTTACCTAAGTTTTATAAACTGAATTCTGAAGGAATCCAACAGAAAGAAGACAAATGTCTCGTTTCTGTTTTTCAAAAGCATAGTTATTGAATTTGCTTATAAACAGCTTAAAAGAAAAGAGAAGGCAATTCCTCTAAATCTAGAAAATAGAATGCTAAAGTGTTGGCAATGTTCCAAACAAAACCCCCAAATCATCCTTCATTGGTGTACTCAGTCCTAATTCTTATTCCGTTTCATGATGGGCTTATTCTTTGTATAATTTTGGGTGCAATTATTTTATTCTATTTATTTATTTTTTTAATTCTAGAGGTGTGGGATGCATGTGAGGATTTGCTACATAAGTATATTGTGTGAAGGTGAGGTTTGGACTTCTTCTTCTTTTTTATTTTTGAGTTGGAGTCTCACTCTGTCATCCAGGTTGTAGTGCAGTAGCATGCTCACGGTCACCCCAGTGTCGACCCACTAGGCTCTGGTGATCCTTCCACCTCAGCCTTCCAAGTAGTGCACGCTACCACGCCCGGCTAATTTTTAAAATTTATTTATTGTAGAGATGAGGTCTCACCAAGTTGCCCGGGCTGGTCTCAAACCTGCGGGCTCAGACAATCCACTCACCTTGGCCTCCCAAGGTGCTGGGATTACAGACTGAACCACCAAGCCCAGCCAGGTTTGCACTTCTAGCAAGCCCTTTCTCCCCCTGGTAATGGACACGGTAGCCAATGGGTGGATGTGTGCCCCTTATGTCCCCTCCCTTCCTCCCCCCTGCTAGTAGTACCCAGTGTCGGTTTTTGCCACCTTTGTGCTTGTGTGCCTAATGTTTGGGGCCTGTTTTATGAGTCAGAACATGTAGTATTCAGTTTTTTATTTCTGTGATATGATCTTGAATTCTGAAAACATTTGGATTCCTTTTTATAAGAATACAAGAAGTTCAATTTTACCATAAAATAGCGTGGCTTAAAACAATGGAAATGTACTGTCCCAGTTCTAGAGACTAGAACTCCAAAACCAGGGTGTCATGATCAGGACCATCCTCTCTCTAAAGCATGGAAGATACATCCTTGCCTCTTTTTGGCTTCTGGTGATTGCCTGCCATCCTAGGTGTACATATTACCCAAATATGTTTCCTTTGTCACATGGCATTCTCCCTGTGTTCAAATTTCCCTCCTCTTATAAGGACTCAAGTAATTGAATTAGGGCCAACCTAATCCAGTGTGACCTTGTCTTAATTTGATAACATCAGCAAGGCCCTATTTCCAAATATGGTCATAGTCAGGTGAGGATTAGGACTTCAGCATATATTTTTGGGGGACCACAATTCAACTCACAACAGCTAATAAGTGATGACTTTAGAGTTCTGAATACTCTCCAGTCATCTGCAAAATGGGATATTCATACTCCAGGGACCAGTAAAGATGACCCATTGAAAGTGTCATGAGAAAATATTAAAATGTTTACGTTTCCACTTTTAAAAATGTCTAGGCTAGGCTCGGTGGCTCTGCCTATAATCCCAGCACTTTGGGAGGCCGAGGAGAGTGGATTGCCTGAACCTGAGGGTTCGAGACCCACCCGGGCAACTTGGCGAGATCTTGTCTCTATAATAAATCAAAAATTAGCCAGGTGTGGTAGCGCACGCCTGTAGTTCCAGCTACTTGGAAGGCTGAGGCGGAAGGATCGCCGGAGCCCAGCAGGTTGAGGCTGTGGTGACCAGGAGCGTGCCACTGCACTCCAGTCTGGGCGACAGAGTGAGACTCCAACTCAAAAAAAAGTCTATTTGTGTTTTGTGATATAAATAATAAACTTACAATAGTACATGTATATGTCATATAGGTAAAATACATATATTCAGTAAATACTCAAAAACTTTAAATCGACTAGAGTAAGAACAATTTTTTTTTCCCAAAAAAAAGGTCCTATGCCTATTCTGTTCCCTCTAACCCATATATTAAGATGGAGGTCACTTGTTCATTAATTTTTCTTTTTAATAATTGCCTCAGCAGAGTAACACTCCCATGTTTGAGGTTTGTAGTAGATGTTCACCCCCACCCACCACATCATTTAGTTGTAAAAGGGTTTAGTTTGACAAAAAACAAAAACAAAGAAAGAGTTACCAGGCCTGAGCCAGGGCAACAGACAGCTGGAACATTAAGACTGAAGCAATTTAACAAACACTGCTCCACACAAAGATATGAGATACATCTTCATCTATGTCAAAAACTTTTGTCTACTTGTCAATTTTCTTTTAACTTATTAGACAGAGCCAATGTTTAGTATAATTTAGGTATAAGGACATGCTGTTAATGGTCTAAATAATTTGATGTCAGTTATGGGGGGACAGGAGGTACAGACTTGGAATATTTTGAAATATAGTTTTTCATAAGAGGAACTTCACTACAAACCAGAAGCCAGATCACAATTAGACATCTGTTCTTACCATGTCCATTCTACAGGTTTCCTTTGATAGAATTTCCAGATCTATTCCCCAAGTTCCCACACATACCTATAATTTTCCAGGAACTGTTTTGAAATCTTTAAGGGAGGGAAGTTGAAATTATTACAGGTAAACAAACACCAAAATATTGATAATGTACATTTGGAAATACATTTGCTGATATATTAAAAACAGGAGGGAGTCAATGTATACATTTGAAAAGATATTCAGATGTTCATGAAAGAGAATTGTTCAACAGAGCAAAGGAGAGTAAACCATGAAATGAGTCATGGTGTTTTCCAACATTAAGGATATTTTTGTTGGTTGTTTAACTCTTCAAACGTTTGACACAAAGGTCTATTGATGAGGAACTGATTCCTTTCTCACAGGCCAGTTGAACTCCTGTGTGGGCATAAATATATTTTTGCTATAAGGTATCCCACCTGTGTCTGTCCATTTTTTTCCACTTGCCTCCTCCCGTGACATTCTGGCTCATGTTTCTTCATAACGCTGTAAGCCAGTTATTAATAACAGTCCCATGAGCCTCCTGATCCTCCAAGAACATATGGTGTTTTTCACGAGCGAGAGATCTTTCCTTTGACTTTGGACTTCGCTTATTGAACCACTGAACAGTAAGTGTTGTTGTTTTTTTAAATGTAGCATTTTAAAGTGTTGATGGAGGAGGCAAGTTTAATGTGACTCCTGTTTGCTTCTTGTAGAGAAAGAATGCAATAGGTTAAAACTCACTAAGACTCCCAAAGCCTATTTCCTATTCTCTGTGTTTCAACATCTCTCCAATTTTTATAAGACTGATTATGAGAGAGAACAATGAATTAGATTTCTACTTCTTTCATTTCCTTTTGGCTAGCTAAAGGCAGGAGAAGCAAAGGATTTATAATATATAAATTACTGACCAAGCCCTGTGGCTGCAGCTTGATACTCCTGTCTCCTGTGTTTCCTCTCCAAATAGAATTCCAGTGATTTCCAAGAGAATTTTTGCATATGGATAGTATATGCAGAGGCAGCTGGATGGGAGACCTGGGCCTTTGCTTTTCATTTTGTTGTTGTTTGTTTTTTTCTTGTTCCAGGTTTGTATCAGAGCAGGCACCCATCTTGTTCAATGGATCCATTGCTTTCTTGTTTTTTTAGCCAAAGGTTTTGTCTTTGCAGCCTTCTTTATAATGGTTGTTTCTGAGAGCCTAGCAAAGTAGGTCACTATGTTTTCTGTCTGGAAAAGAAGGATCCTGACGCCCAGAAAGGCCAATGCCTTTCTCGGTTCTGTGAACAGAGCTGAAACCTGACACTCTGACCCTTCTCCAGGACCATAGACTAATAGAGCTTTCTGCTTTGGTTACATATGTTCAGTTCTTGAACACATGTACCAGGCTTCTAAATAACATGTGTAAGGGAGGCATACAATGAATTGGAAGGAGGCAGATGCAAGCCTGGTGTTAAGCCCTGACTGGGACCATTTATAAGTTGTGTGACCCTAAGCAAGTGCTCAACTACTGTGAGCCCCAGTCTGCTCATTTGTGAAATGACAATCATAACTTGTTTTATAGAGCAGTGGGGTTTACTCATAGTGTATGTAAGTGGCCAGATATAGAGACAGTTATTTTAGCATTATTTATAAGCCCCTTCTTCAAATTTTTCCTGAATTTTCCTAATCATCTCTTATTTGTTCCAAATTCATATACAGAGTCTCCAAATGTGGTCTTTGATGGAAAACATTAATTTAAAATGTAGCGATAATATTTACTTTTACTGCTTTTAATAACTTTAATTTTGGGATAGTGTAAACCAAGCTGAGGACAGGTGAAGAGGAGGGTAGTATATTGTTAGCAATTCAGGACAGTGAGGATACAGTTTAGATCAATGATGATGAGGAAACTTCAAAAACAATTTCACAACATAAACCATTATTTTCATAACTTTCCTGTCCTATTATAATCAGTATTCTAAAATTGTTCTTATGGGCTGCTATGTTTCCAGAAGACTGGTTTCTACCTTTACTACATTAGACTTTATTCTATGTGTCTAGATAGAAAGGAGGGCTGTCTCAATACCTGCTTCCCAAAGTATGGTGCTGTAACTCAGGAAACATGATGAGATTTTTGTTTTCCTCTATAAGCGTTCATTCTGCAAACTTGCGTTTAATTCCTACTGTGTGCAAAACCCAGTGCTAGCTTAGTATGGGATCTATAAGCTCTTTTATTTTTTTTGAGTCAGAGGCTTACTCTGTCGCCCAGGCTGGAGTGCAGTGGCATGCTCACGGCCACCCCAGCATCAACCTGTAACCAGAACTACAGGCGCGCACTACCACGTCTGTCTAATTTTTTGATATATTATAGAGATGAGGTCTCACCAAGTTGCCCAGGCTGGTCTCGAACCCCTGAGCTCAGGCAATCCTCTCGCCTTGGCCTCCCAAAGTGCTAGGATTACAGGCTCGAGCTACCGTGCCTGGCCTATAAGCTCTTAATAATAGGAAATAGATCATTTTATGAGTTACTAATAAAAGTCAGAATGGCTTGCTCACAGTTCAGTACTTTAAGTGCTCTTCTTTGGGTATCACCTTTTAAGTCATGACTTTGTAAGGCATAGAGGCCAACACCTTAAAGGCACACCTCATCCCCCTATCAAAAAACATTATTGAGTATCTACTTTGTTCCAAGTTCTGTGCTAAATGCTGGAGATATCACTTCTTCTAAAGCTGGTCATACTTTTATTTAAACTTGAAATGCTGTTCTCCAGCCTGCCATCTATTTTATCAGCTAATCTTGACTCCAAATAACATTCAGTACATATGAGAATTCAAATTTGTACCTAAGAGTGTTAAAATTTGTCACCAGTGAAATTATACAGAGGTGTGTGTGTCCCAGGCTGAGTGGGAAGTTAAAGAGATTTTGCCAGATGCTTTTGAGAAGTCAGGTCCAGAAATTCTCCATTCCCCTCCAATCCCCATCCCCAAATAGAGGATGACACTTGTTTGGATATTTGAGTTCTGCAGATAAAAAAATACAAACCTAACCAACAAACACCTTCAGTCCCATTCCTGCTTCCTCACACCCCTTGAAGGACAAGTGTTGGCCAACACTGCTGTACTGGGGCTCCCTAAGGAAGCCCTACATGCTGGGCCCCAGTCAGGGCACAGGACATTTCATCCAGCCTTGTAAGAGTGCATCATATCTATGGTCAGGGCTGGGAAATTTGGCAGGGAGAAGGTTGATAACATTGTGATTATTTTGTCCTACAATATTTCTTAGTGTTAAGTACCCCTAACTGAATAATTTATGTCTTCTTAGGGGCAATGCATGATCTGTTTGGGGGAAGGAATGTGGCAGCTGGAAAACTTAGCCTTCAGGAGTCCTGGTAGTGGATGATTACGAGAACATGTTTATTCATGTGCAAAACTGTTCACTTTAGGGCCAGAATACTCGCTACAAAGATTTGGGGTATGGCCATCAGTGGCTTGGGAAAGTTGAAACTGAACATTAGCATAGAAACGAAGCGTGAGAGGTGCAGTAGAAGAAAAGAGAAACATAATGGGTCTTGACAGGTCCCCTTACCACTCTGCCAGACAAGCCAACTTCCCAGAAGTGTCTGCTTCAATTTCCCAGAGCTACCCCGCCCCCTTTTTGAGTCAGGGTCTCACTCTGTCACCCAGGGTGGACTGCTGTGGCATGAATCACAGCTCAACATAACCTCAAACTCTTGGGCTCAGGCAATCCTCCCGCTTCAGTCTCCAGAGTAGCTAGGGCTGCAGACATGTGCCACTATACTTGGCTAGTTTTAAAAAATTTTTGTAGGGACAAGGTCTCACTATGTTGCCTATGCTGGTCTCGAACTCCTAGGCTCAAGCGATTCTCCCACCATGGCATCCCAAAGTGCTGGGATTACATGCCTGAGTCACTGCACCCAGACTGGGCTTCCCATCATCTTAAGGGCTGTTTGCTCCCTCTCATCTAGCTGAGCCACTCCATCCCTCTTCATGGTTAGGCTGCAGGGAAGTGATCATTTTACTGGACCTGCCGCTTCATATAACTAACCCTACTCATTGAGTGTCAGGCAGCATGTTGGGCTCTTGGCTTACATGTTTACCAATCCTGGGATATTGCTTGGTGAAGACTATAGACTTTGGAACTAAGCAGAGCTCCATCCAGATCTCTGGTCACATCTCGCTGAGTATGTGACCTTGGACATCTTACTTAACCTTTCTGGGCTTCAGGCTCTTCAACTAAGGAAATAATGGTACTAATATTCCACCTCACAAAGTGTTATGAGATTAAAACCAAAAGTTTGTATAGTAGGCACTTAACTTTAGTTGTTAATAAAGTCTTTTCATACCCCCACAAGATAGATATCATTGATTGTCTCTGGTCTCCAAATGAATCAGTGTGTGAGGCGAGGTGCTTTGTCCAAGGCTGCAGAGCTAATATCAGCCAGACTCATGATCTAAAACTGGCTCCATCTGGTCCACATCTTCCACTCTTTCCTTACTCCGCCTTGCTGACTGACCATCTGTGACAAGCACTTTTTGTGTTCAAAGTCTACGTTCTCACATTCTTTGCCTTGTAACTCTGACCTGCCACTTTGCCAGTTTTTGCTTGTCATCTGCTTTACTTTTTAATTTTTATTTATTTATTTATTTTGAGTTGGAGTCTCACTCTGTCACCCAGGCTGGAGTGCAGTGGCATGGTTATGGCCACTGCAGCCTCAGCCTGCTGTGCTCAGGAGGTCCTTCCACCTCAGTCTTCTAAATAGCTGGAACTACAGGCTTGCACCCCCAGGCCTGGCTAATATTTTTGATCTATTGTGGAGATGAGGTCTTGCCAAGTTGCCCAGGCTGGTCTCAAACCCCTGGGTTCAGGCAATCCTCTCACCTCCACCTCCCAAAGTGCTAGAATTGCAGGCGTGAGCCACTGCACCCGGTCTTCATTTACTTTATTCTAGTCTTGTTAGTCTTACACTGACCTGAATCAAGATGTTGCTTTCATCAAAGGTGATGAAAGTAGATTCTCTCCAAATAGCCAAGACTGGTGAAACACAGAATCAAGTTTATCATAAATGTCAGAACACTGCTGAGACAATTATGGTACTAGATCTGGAAGAAACTAACTGTGCCACCTCAGACAAGTCTCTGTATTTCTCTGGGTCTCATTTGTCCAATGAGAAATTTACAAAAGCTCAAGTATCTTTTCAAGTGCCAACATACCTTTAATACCTCAAACCTTCCACCACTGTGGTTTTTCTTAGCTGAAAAGAGAAAAACTGACTTGAAATCATGTCTTAATCAGGAAGCAAAGTACAATAATCATGACTGAACTCACTTAAATGTAGAGCCATATGCCATTTTAAAATTCTTATACAAGCTTTTTTTTTGTATAAGGCTCATGCCATTGATAAGCTGATTTCTCAGATATGTGTTAAATTCCCTTTCTCACATATTCTTCCTCGGGAAGAATCGAATAGGACCTTAATTAGCTCAGAAAATGCAACTTGAACTCAAATTTTAGAAACATACAGAATGCACAAATTTCATTTACCATTGCATATGCCCAAACTTTCTGTTAACTCCTGGACGACTAGAATTTGAGGTGTTTTAGGAGTGAGGACAAGTCTTCATTATACCAAA